ATATGTATATATATATGTATATATTTATGTAAAAAGACCAATAATAGCCGTATGTTATGCATCAATAGCAGCAACAGCTTTTCTAGGTTCTGCAGTCAACTGAACAAAATTATAGACATTCAGCACATTCCATTAAAAAAACAAAAAACAAAAAAACAAAGAAAAGAATAATATCCAGAAAACAGCACAATTCTGTTGCTGTTGTGGTACCTGGCACCATTTTTTTTATTAGCATCATAATCATCATCTGGAAAGAGTACATTCTAGAGTAACATCATTAAATATAGCTCTGATAAAGCATGGTCACTACTAAGTATCATGAAGCAGATGCCCATTTTTGAATTGGGTCTTTATATTTGGGGGCCTTGATTTTTTGAGTTCTTTATATAATCTAGATAATTTTCCTTCATCTGAGAAGCAGCTGGTAAATTTTTTTCCCACATTGTACATTGTCTGTTAGCTCTGTTGGTGGTTTCTTTTGCAGTGCAGAAGCTTTTTAATAAGATGAGATCCCAATTGTTGGTTCTTTGTGCTAGTGTCGAGGCTACTGAGGATTTGTTCATAAAGTCTTTTCCTATGCCAATGTCTCTGACAGTTCTGCCTAACTTATCTTCCAGCAAGTTTAGAGTTTCTGTTTTAATATTTAGATCTTTAATCCACTTGTATTTTAGTTTAGTGCACAGTGAAAGATAAGGATCTAGTTTTAATCTTTGGCAGGTTGAAATCCAGTTTTTCCAACACCATTTATTAAAGAGGCTGTCTTTCCTCCAGTGAAGATGGTTGGTTCCTTTGTCAAAGATGAGGTAGCTGAATACATCTGGCATTGTTTCTGTATCTTCCAATCTATTCCACTGATCTGCAGGTCTTTCTTTTTTTTAATCACAGTGGCTTTGTAGTACACTTTCAAGTTTGGAATTGTGATACCCATTGTCATGCCATTGCCTAGGATGGTTTTTGTTATTCTAGGTCTCTTCTGGTTCCAAATGCATTTTTGGATTATTTTCTCTAGGTCTGTGAAATATACTGGTGGAATTTCATTTGGGATGGCATTGAATCTGTATAGCAGTTTTGGTAGTATGGCCATTTCACTATGTTGATTCTTCCTACTCAGGAGCAGGAGATATTTTTCCATTTTCTTATATGCTGTTCAATCTCTGTTTGCAGAGCGCTATAGATCTCAATGTAGGGGTCTTTTCCTTCCTTCATTAGATTGATTCCTAGATACTTCATTTTTTTGGATGCCATTGTCAAAGGAATTGTTTCCCTAGTTTCTCTCTCAGTGAAACTTTGATTCCAAAAGCAGGGAAAGACCAAAATAAAATAAGAATTACAGGCTAATTTCCTTAATGAACATAGATGCAAAAATCCTCAATAAGATACTTGCAAACAGAATACAGAAGATCATGAAGAAGATCATATGCCCTAACCAAGTTGGATTTATACCAGGGATGCAAGGATGGTTCAACATATGTAAATCAATACATTCAAAACACTGTATTAACAGTCAAGGACAAAAACCATACGATCATCTCAATAGATGCAAAAAATCATTCTACAAAATTCAACACTCTTTCATTACAAAAACCCTGTAGAAAATTGGAATAGATGGTCTTTATCTCAACTTGAAAAAGGCTATCTATTAAAAACCAACAGCCAGCAACATATTAAATGGCCCAAAACTGGAAACCTTCAGGCTAAAATCAGGAACAAGACAAGGATGCCCACTATCACCACTCCTGTTCAATACAGTTCTGGAAACATCAGGTACAGCAATTAGACATGAGAAAAAAAGCAATTAAGATAGGAAAAGAAGAAGTTAAACTGTCATTATTTGCTAATGATATGACACTCTACATAGAAGACCAAAAAAACTCTGCCAAAAGACTTCTTTGCTCATTCTTACCATTCATTCCATTCTTGTAGCAATGAATGATGTAGAGCCAAGGTAAACACTAAGGGAAATCTCAAGCTGGGTGGTTCATTACATTAAAGTACTTCAATACATTTTAAGGTACCCTGTCCATATTCTTACTAAAGCAGTTTGGGTTAATCTTTCCTGAGCTACATCTTCTCTTAATTTCTTTTAAAATGGACCATGAATCAGAACATTTGTATACATATATTAGTAAGTTTCACTAATGAGACAGCCTATTTTATTTTTTGGTTCAATTATAGTGACTCAAGGTTGGCAAATCACATTAAACAACGTGACTCTTCAAGATCTTACAGCTGACAGGGTAGATTTTGAATGATATGAAAGAGCAGCACTCTGACAAGGTCTCACAGTTATAAATTTCTGGGTCCAGAGACAGGCAAAACTCTATAGCCCTCAAAACTGTCATGAAATCTCTTTTTTCAGTACTAACCATGGCCACATTTCAGGAATAATGGAAAATTTCCCATTTCCTACCACTTAATCCTTTCTTCTACATTCCTCCCATGTTTGCCTTAATTAGACCTGGTTTCTTGTCTCTTCACTCTAATTATTGTTTCTTGTTTTGCTTCAAATATTTAGAGGACAGTCAGGAAGACTTTGAGGATGGAGGAAAGCAAGAAGACTTGAGTGGCAACAAGAGATTTTCCCTGTAAGTCTCACTGCCTTGCCATTCCCTGTTACCAACCATAGGAAGCTGGGAAAAGAGACTGAGTTTCAGAGGAAGAGACTCATAGTCAAGAGACTATGACGTATTTTGTGTGTGTGTGTGTGTGTGTGTGTGTGTGTGTGTGTGTGTACACGTTTTCTTCTCAGGGATCAATGGATCCCTTCTCTGAATGACATGAGAAAATATGGGGAGAAGTGACAAAGTACTATCCCATGCAAATTTCAGTTAGAAAGCAGCACTACCCAAAATCAAGGGAACAAATTTAATGATATGTAAAACTACCTCATTGACACTTAGATCAGCATGCCGTATTTCCCTGCAGCCCAGCCATAACCATCAGCTGAGAACTTCAGAGAAAAGAGTAGAGTAACAAGAACTTTGCATAGAATCCACAGGGAGTGTACAGAGACTCTAGAGCGTGATAAGGAAGAAAGGAGCTTGGAGAAACAGCCAAAAGCTGCATCTTTCTTTGTAAAGGGTTATGCTCACAGCCATGAAGGTTTCCTAAAAACAACTCTTCTCAGAGCCTTGAGAGGAATGGAAATTCAAGTTTCTCACTAATACTTAAAGCAAAGGGTTAGCTATATGACTGCTAAAGAACATCTACAGTCAGTAAAATAATAACACTCATTAACTCCTAACATGGCTGACATTCAGCTAATAAGCTCCTGTAGTACCCTACCTGTTCCTAGCAGCCATTCTAATTGGCCAGTAACTAGACCATTGCACTTCCTACACGTGTTTTGGAAACACAGAATTTTCTTCCTTGATTATGCCTGATTTGCTTCATGGTTATGAAGGCCTCTTGCAGTCACTAGGAAAGTTGAAGGCTTTCACAAGAAGCAAACTTCCCCAATTTTACATTTGTCAAGATATTACTTCCAGAGCCAGGGAAGACGTTGGGGTATATACAAATTGAAAGAACTAAAATATAGCTGATTGTTTAGAATTTCCGGGAGAAGTCTACTAAGTGATCCCTTGTCAACACTGTCTTCTACCATCCCTCCTTATAGGGTGTTCTCAAGGCTTTTCACCTTCACCCAAAGCAGGAGACCACAGGAGATCTATCTACTTTAAAAGATTTTCAATCAAAAGGAGCCTGTACAACTTCAAGTAGCAGCAGGGTCACTCTGAGTGGAGTTCCCCAAAATGAAACCTAAAATAGATGGAGCAGCTGAAGCAGTAGCACAAATTGGTTAACAAGGGCATCTCTAAAGTTGAGAAACTCCATTTTATAGAAAAACCACATCTTCTTTATCCAGTCTCCAGATCATGGGCATTTGGGCTGTTTCCAAGTTTTAGCTATTACAAACTGTGCCACTATAAACATGGGTGCACATATATCACTGTGGTATGGTTCTTTTAATTCTTTTGGAAAGATAACCAACAGAGAGATAGCTGGGTCAGATGGAACCTCTAATCCTAGTGCTTTGAAGTATCTCCGTATTGAGTTCCACAGTGGTTGCACGATTCTGCACTCCCACCAACAATGGAGAAGGGTACCTTTCTCCCCACAACCCTGCCAACATTTGTTATTGATTTCTTGATAGTACTACTCAGCCATAAAGAATAAGAAACTAGAGTAATTTATAGGAAAATGGACGCATATTGAGGCCATACTCTTAAGTGAAATAAATAGGACACACATATGTAAATACCGAATAGTTTCTCTAGTATCAAGAACTAAAAGTGTAAATAAGATTCAAATCATATAATTGATAATGTGAAACAGGAAGAAAAGGGCTAAAGGGGTAGGGAAGGTGGGAAGGGTAAGGGAAAGGAAAGAAGGGAAAAGAAAAATATGAGAAAAGGAAAAAATGGATACAAAGTCTTTATAAATAAGGAAGGGTGGAGGTGGTGAAGGGAGGGCAGGTGTTTGCGGAAAAATAAGTCATAATGTGTCATGTAAAGGTACAAGATGACAATGATTAATGTAACTGTACTGTATACCTAAAAAGTATCAGAAAACTCAATGAAAAAAATTGAAAAACTCCTGGGTTCCTTGAGATTTGGAAGCATTTGCTATCTTTAGTCACGTGAGCTACAGTTAGTTTCCTACTACCTTTGAAGTACAGATTGTGATTATTGGGTGAGTAGGAGAGGCACCACTGAACAATCCCAACACCACCTTAGGCTGAATTTTGAGTTTGGGAAAGGCAGTGAATGTGAAAACAGTATCATTATAATGAAAGCATTCTTGGGGCCCGGGATTTAGCTCAGCGGTTCTGTCGCCTAACTCATAACCGCAAGGTCCCAAGTTTGATCCCTGGTACCAAAACAAACAAACAAACAAAAACTGAAAGACAACATTCTTAGTATAAATTAAGATACTAAATCCATTCCTGAAAGGAAGTAGAGGCAAATTGTGGAAGTAGAATAAAGATTGTGATTCCTGCATATCACATCATACCTTAGGTAAGTCCTACCTGCCAGAGACCCCTGCAGGAAGTCTATAGTCCCCACCTGCCCAGTGTGTGATGCAAGGTTGAAGAAAAACTTAAAACAGAGTTGAAGAGAAAGTGTGAACCGGGATTGCCAATGCTTCTTTAGCAAAAGGTACTGGGCCATCTCTTCCACCAAATTTTATTATTCGTCAATCAGAGTAAAGTTGCATGGAGAGATGTGTAGTACATGAGATCTCCATGGAAACCATGCAGGCACGGCTTTAAAGAGAAGTCAAAGCATTTTCAAATGAGAAGCGAGATAGACAAAATATATGGTTGTACTTAGAGCACTGGCCTTCAAGCTATGAAGGCATTAATCGTGGGAAGGGAATTAGGGTGCGATTACTCCAACCTCAGCTACGGATCTTATCTCTTATCAGCCCCACAGCTTCATAGGCCATTACTCTGGTCTCTTTAGCAGGGAGGTCATGTTGACCTGGGAGCTACTGCACCGTTCAGGAGATGCCTCTGTGAGTCACATAGCTTCAGTCAGACTCGCTCTTTAAAGGAAGCCAATCAAGAGATTTAACTCTTCACAGCCTGCAGTGCTTACAGCGTGTTTGGGGCATAATCAATATTTCAGGCCATGGCACGACCAAGAGGCAGGAAGATGAGTTGTAATAGCCAATCATCTTTTATAATTTAATATATTTCTATCAGAGATGTTGGCTAGTCATGAAAACTGAGGACAAAATAGATTGACACTCAGAAATGGGTGACTTACAAAGTGGGGGGTATCATGATTTGATAACACAGATTGAGGAACCAGATAAATTAAGGTTCAGATTCCACACCTGCCTTTGAATGTATATTTTATGAATTTAAACAACTTTGCTTCAGTCTTCTTGTCAGATGAAACCAGTAGCAACACCTGTTTACTGAGGTTGAAAGGATTGACTGAAATGTATAAAGCAGATAACATAAGGACCTAGTGCCTGATTAAGTGATCAGTCAATTATCTTTTTCGTTCTACTTTGCCCTCATTTTTTCCTGACATCTTGGAATATAAAATCTTAAAACATAGACATACGTATTGGCCTAGAAAAGACAAAAATAAAGGACTACTTAGTATGACACGCATTTTCTTTATTAACTAAAGAAAAACAGTTTCTACCTCCCAAGATCTGAAAGGCTTTTCTATGGTAATTTAAGGCAGGAAGAAAGGTGGTTAAACCAGATCATTTCATATGGCACTATAAGAAGGCAGAAAAAAATAGTGCCTTGTAAAGGCTCTTTTGTCTTTGCTCTGGAGCCTTCAACAAAATGGCTTTGATAGGGTGATTGTCAGGGAAGGTTCACTTGGGGGAGTGCTAAGTAATCTTCTGGCTTCACCCCAAATAGCTGATAATAGTCCCAATTTATGAAGATCTCACCTTGAATCATCACAGAAGTCTTCAAATGAGGTAAAAATCATTATGGGCATTTTTTTTTCTGAGAATGTAGGAGAAAAACACCAAGAAAGAAATTTTTTACCATAGGAAGGATGCAAACAGCAGTGCTGACAAGCAAGCTGCCCTACTTATATAGCCTAGGATCAGCCACAAATCTATGAAATAGTAGCCCAAAGCCAAGAGAGTACAAAGAATCTAATTCAGAAAAGATACAACTGTTCATTAGAGTCAAATTATTTTTCTAATTAGACCATTCAGGTGCCTTAAGGATCACTGAGAAAAATCAAATATGTTACGAATGCACTGTACATTATATGTAAAAGTAAAATTTTCTATGTTAAATGTGCTTGGATAAATTAGAAGACTTTGTATTATCAAAAGATTCACACCAGGATTTTCCTTCAGGAAAATATTGAGAATGCATTTTCTCATGCAAGTATTTATGAATGTGCCTCCTGGACAAGGGGAAGGGTGTTGTTGTATATAATGAGGGGAAAGGGCATTAATTTAAAACCAAGGAAAACAAGTATAAACTGGCTTCAATTTATGCCATTTGTTCAACTGCCTTTTCATTGGCTTTACTGTGCTAACAAGAAATCACTAGGAACAGGTGTAGAAGTTAAGCAAATGACTGACATTATAAGTGTGGTTTCTGGATTGTCCCTTTGGAATCAAACTGTCCCCACAAAGTTGCTGTGTGCTCTTGCATGTATTTTAGTAAATACTATATTCTGTAAACCTATTTGTTAAACCTAGTAGTACTACTTGGGAGTGGTGGCGCACGCCTGTAATCCCAGCACTCGGGAGCCTGAGGCAGGAGGATCTCTGTGAGTTGAAGACCAGCCTGGGCTACATAATGAGTTCCAGGTCAATCTCAACTACATAGTGAGACCCTATCTCCAA